AAAGAGCGGTTTCATTTCTGGTTTGGAAGCCGATGGGTCTGTATACTTTTGACAATATTGCTGTAAGCCTGAACTTTCTTTCAGGTCCCAATTTTCATTTTATTTATGAAGATGTCAGAGTTGTTTAATGACACTAACTACACAGCAGTGAAAGATATCTTTCTTTTTTCCTTCTTTTTTTTTTTTCCTTCTGTCTACCTGAGAACACTTTCCTGAGGATGATCAGAGTGTTATCTTAACTGTGTATTTAAGGATTCCCTTTGTCATTTTTAGTGATAATTCCTTAATATTTGAAACTTTAGTGTAATTCCACAAAACTTCCTAGTCTGTAGAATACTGTGGAGTACAACTAAAAGTGGGGGGAAGGTGGCTTGGTAACTAGTTTGTCTCCCTTCAGTAGGAGGTGATAGGTTGTACACACATTACTTACTTGTTAAAAATATATTCTTATCAAGAAAATGTACTTACTATGTAGTTTTAGCTGGCTGTGAACTTTTTGGTATTCTTTTTTTCCTCTTCCATTTACTCTGTGTCAGAACTAACTCTTGAGGTGGACTTTGTATGTGTAATTTGAAATCTTGTACTGGAAAATGAGATAAGTCTTTTGTGTAACTTATTTTGCTTGTAAGAGCTGTTGGACGATTTTATATCAGCAATGGTTTCACTGAAATCTAAGCTTCACAGATATCCTGAAATGCAGTTATGTTTTCATTTTTTTTGTTGTCATGGTCTCTGATTACTACTTTTACAATTAGAGTGCTATCTTCTGCCTCCCTGTTCAGCTGAACAGGAGTAGCAATTGTCTTATTATTGACTTGCTCCATTCTTTACAATAAGGCGGGAACTACTGCTGAGACTATTGAGAAGATAAAGTGAATTTAATTCTTGCTGTTCATTTTAAATATAAAACCAAAGAGGCTTTACATGGAAGACAGTTGCAGAAATAACCCATTTGTGCTGTTTGTAAGTTATGTAGTAGACTGAAAAGGAATAAAAATACTGTACATCAGCATATGTGCCACAGGGTGTTACTGTAGGTGTGATCTACCTTTTCCTTGCTGTAACTATCTAGCACTAACTCTGCAGTGGTAGTTTTGATTTCTAACACACTGACGTGTTAACAAAATGATGACTTGTGGATAATGCATTATGGAATTTTGCTCACTCAGTATTCAAATGGAAATATATAATGTACAATTTTTACTTAATACATTTTTCTTTTGTGACTTGCAGACAGATGCCAGCAGTAAAGCTATATTCTCAAAAGTGATGGTTATAACAAGTAAGTCAGTTTAAGTATTTACACTGTCAAAAGTTACAGTTGAAATACATTGCTTTCTTGCTTTAAAAATCATTTGAGATAAGCTTATAACAAATAAGTTTTGTAACAAAATATAAATAAATCAAATAAAACACAATGTAACAATATGCTTTAAAGAATTAAGACAACTGTAAGCAGAATTATTTCCTTACTGTAAAAAGTCTCCTGTCATGGAGGTTATCACATGACATTTTGGTTGCATCTGTTGTAGACTAATTCAAAATGCAGATTATTTAGGCACCAACGTGTCTGCTTTACCATTTATTGTAGAATATATATTAACTGATGTTAACTAACCTGCTAAACTATCTACTGACTTAGCTGTCTTTGGAGTGTTGGTATTGTAAGTTCTGCTGGGAGAACGCAAAAGAGTTTGGGTTTGGGTAGAGCAGGACAGCACTTTGGAAACTGAAGAACTTCTGTGTAACCTGAACTTTTGGCAAAGGAAAAACCACCAATCCCAAAGCAGCACTTCTTCTCCCCAGCCCACTGTGCCAATAGCATTAAAACCAGTAAGAAAAAACCCCTTGTTTTACAATTCTGAAATTTCATTTTTAAATCAACCTTGTTTTTCAAAAAGCAAACTGTTCTGGCAAAAAAAATACTACTTAAGGATATGGACATTTTTTTGCAAAAATGTGGAGGAAAAGCTGAATCTTGCTGCCTCGGCCATGTTCGAAATCCTTTTTTTCCTTTTATTTATAATATAAAACTTGAACAGTTTGTAATTTTTCTGATTCTTTTAATTCTTGGTTGCATTTAAAGAAAAAAAATACAGCAAAACAAATACTTAGTAGAACTTGTTTTGAACTAACTATCCTATAGTCCTATACCATCTTCTGTACCAACTTTGCTTAACACCTATTGTACCAAAACCATAAAACATCTTAAATAGTAGACTAACACTTTGCCAAAAAATGTCCTGTTAGGTTATAAAATATAAATACAAAATTAATATTTAGTTTTAAAAAACGCATTTTTAAAGCTTTATTTTGAATGTTGAAAGCTGTTGAAAAGCTTATGTTTAGTGAAGGGGTATTTTAGCAAAAATACTCTTTTGGTGATTTTCACATTTGTCTTATCAGGTGATCTATTCACTGAGTATATTTTTCTGTGGGGCATAGGGCTTTGCATTCTGAGCTCAACTTGAGCTGTTAATAATATTAACAGGAACAGGTAGACTTACTGGAAAATGAGTGTGAAGGGAGAAGAAAGCAATAGCCGGGGAGATGTGTGGGTATACAGATTTTTAGAAATTGGTGTCCTCATAGATACATCTGCACATGTTGAGATGTTTTGTGTTTGTTTCCCTCTCTGCTTCTTAGTTAACTTAAACAGATATAGAAACTTTCTTGATGTGACGTTTCAAATTTGTGTAATTTACAATACTGATACTTACTATAATGAATAGTGATTCCTTTTGTTTTTTTTAAAGGAAATCTTCCTGATCCAGGGAAAGCTCAAGATTTCATGAAAAAATTCACACAAGTTCTAGAAGATGATGAAAAAATAAGAAGTCAGTTAGAAATGCTTGTTAGCCCAACATGCTCTTGCAAACAGGCTGAAGGATGTGTGGTAAGAATTGCTCTTAAAACGTGAATATTTTTGGAATGGAATTGATTATAAATTTAATTGAAATTTATGTTGCAGAGGGAAATAACAAAGAAGTTGGGCAATCCAAAACAACCAACAAATCCTTTCCTGGAAATGATAAAGTTTCTTCTTGAGAGAATTGCTCCTGTGCACATTGATACTGAATCCATCAGGTATTTGTGTGTGTGTTGTTGGCCATAGATTGCAGGGTTAGAAATTGGGGGTTCTAATTTCATCTTTAAGCACAAGCAGTAATGGATTGGGCGGGTGGGGTTTAAGACCTGGTGACCTGCAATATTTTCTTCCATTTCCCTTTGCTTGGGGTTTTTTGTCTCCTCATTCAGAATGTAGCCATGTGAACAATTGATTTGTCATTCAGCACAGCCAGGACAACCTGTCAGTAAAAATGGATATGTTGCTGATGGGAAAAATCTGGTTTGTGAATGACTGCCTTACTATAAAAGAAATTTCTGTCCATGGCTATTCAGACACTTCATTAAAGCTTTCCACCCAGAATACTAGCTCATAGTGACATAAACACTAATTTAACTGAGGAAATAAAGACTTTAAGGAAGAATAAGCCAAGTTATGGAGGGGGAAATAGTTGCTGAAATGGTTATTTAACAGTTGTATTTGAGATATGTGGTACCTCATGAGAGACGACTAGTTCTAAATAGTGGTAAATTCTTATCTGTTAATTCCAACTATAGTAACTGATTTTTAAGTACTTGACCTTTTCGCTTTCTGCCTGTCAGATATACAATGCAATAAAGCCACTGAGATTTCACTTAATCTGTTTCAGAATCATTCTTAACATGACTTTTCTTTTGATCTTGGATGAAGTACAACGTGTAGCTAGATTTTTACTTTAAATTTGAAAATGCATTTTTTTTTTCAAATTCACAGAAGCAATATGAAATGTATATTTAAACTAATATTCACATGTGGCGCTAAGTTGTAATACTTGTTTCACAGTCTACCTACTGCTGACTGCCATACAGTATACAAGCACACAAAAAAAAAAGGCAGTAAAAAGCACTTTTGCCACAGGATCAGTCTTCTCCCATCTCTGTAATTTTTCACTTCTGCTTCATTTTTAAGACTGTCAGACTGTTTTTTTTTTTTTTAATAAATGGTCATTTTTATCCAATTGGGACAAAAAAAAGAAATTTGAAGTCTGACTAGGAGGTCTTTCCCTTGATTTGCTACCAACTTTGGGGTGGTTTTTTGGTTGGTTGATTTTAGGGTTTTTTGGTGTTTTGGTTTGTTCAGAGGTTTTTTTGCCCTGTAAATATCACTTACAGGATGTACTGAAGGAATATTATGAGTATTGTTCAGCACTTGGTAGGAAAGCTGCCTGCAGCACTCATTAATAGAATCATTTGGATAATCACTATTTCCCTTCCTGGGGTACAGTGTAAGAAAAAAAACAAGCGTTACTGTAAAGGTGAAATATACAGGAGATAAATCTTTTAAATTTTTCATCAACTCTTAGAAACAGCTGTTTATTTTTTTCTCTTTGTTATAGACTAAACGTTATAAACAATTATTTTCCATCAATTATTAATAGAATTAATAGAACCCATAGCAGCTGGTAACCTCGGCATAATTCTTGCCTGAATTTGGAGCTTGTAATGCTCAAATTATTTTCTTATTTTGGTCATCCTTTGGGAGTAATGTGTATATAATAGTTCTTAATTCATGATGGATAAATGTTTTTGAACTTAATGCTTTATAAGCTTTGATTTAGATGGGAGATGAGGACAACCAGATTGTGTATGAGATTAATTTATATTTGTTTTATAACAACCTTATGCTTTAGGTGTTTTAAATAAGCTTATTAAATAAACTTAATTATTTTAAACTTACGAAAATAGTCATACAAGGTGGAATTGCAGTAAGTACAAGGCCATCTTTTTGTTTTGCTCTTCAGTGCCCTTATCAAGCAAGTAAACAAGTCTATAGATGGAACAGCTGATGATGAAGATGAGGGTGTACCTACTGACCAGGCAATCAGAGCGGGTCTTGAATTGCTTAAGGCAAGTATACTCCTGGTGGTCAGTGAGCACATGAAACTTTCTGTAGCAACTTTGTTAAAATAAATTTTTAATTAGCGCTCAGTATCTTTAATCATAAGCATGTGGTAGCTTTCTGGAAGAGTACTGTTAGCATGTAAGTAAGATTATCTTACAAATCATGTAGAAGTTTTTCTGGAAGTTGAAAGTAGTTGCATGTGTGATGTCAGCAGCTGAGTTTTGATTATTAGACTGTGAATTCAGTGATTTGTGAATATAGTTATACTACTTTTGGAACTGTACTTGTATATCAGTACAATACTGTGGTTCCTATGAGTTTCTCATAAATTTGGGTCTTACCTATTTCAACTACGTGTAATCTTTGAGACCTAGTTAACAGAGCAAACCCCATTGAGATGCGTTTCTGGGGACATTGTACAAAATTTCTTACTCTGCTCTCCCTTTTTCCTAAGAGGAAAAGGGCTGATCACTGTGTTATTTACAAGTACTGTTAAAAGCGTGAACCTTTTAAGATGCAATTACATAGGGCTTTTTGTTTCACTTAGTGCTTTTAGCCTAAAGTCTTTGACAGAGACTACGTAGTGTCAGCTTTGCCTGTACTTGCACAGAAAGGTACTTGTGCCATAGTACCACCTCAGTTATATGATCGTGTTGGGAGTAGTCCAGCTGTGGGTTGACTTCAGATGCCTCAAAATCTAAAGAACTCACATGCAGAAGTTTTCAGAATATATTAGATCAACTAAGGCCATAGTAGATGTATCTAAGAGCATGTCATTCTTTAGTCAGATGCGCATGTTTAGATAAAAGTGCAAAAAACCAGCAGCACAAAGATGAATCTGAGTAAGAATGAATTATGTCATGAAGGACTGTGTATTTGAAAGAAGGCTCCCAGGTCAGTATTTACATATTCATATGAACAAGCATGACACATTTAAGGAAGAGGAGTAAGATTATCCTGAAGAAAATGATCTGTACATCATGAGAAGAATCCAGAAACGACAAGTATAGGAGTGTAGAAAAGGGAATGCCATACAATGAAGCGTGGAGGAAGGTAACTTGATGAAAGTAGAAAACTGCGTGTGAGGAAGTTCCTAGATTTTTGGGATAGTTTCTTTGCCATGGGTCAGAATTTTATATGAAAAGAGACTGATAATCAACAGCCACTTAAAAATGAAGAGAAGGCAAACTTTCAGAGAGGATCAAATAAGGATTTTTTTTTTTTTTTAACATGGGATGACTGTCATGGTTGAAGACAGAGTCCAAGAATCTGAAGGAGAGGTACAGGATTTGGTAAGCTGCTGTGGAAAGCTTGAGGAACTAGACACCCTATGGAGTATGTCTGTATTACTATTTTAGAGTTAGGAACTTCACTTCCGAGTACAACCAGTTGTTCCACTTAGGAAACAAGCATGAAGTCTGGGAGTACAAAAACTGGATTCTTTTTAGAGAAACAAAATTATGAGATGGGCTTTGGAAGCACTGTTGTGTTGCAGTGGCTAAAGTGGGTTCAGTCAGTCTAGAAATACTCTGAAGTAAACCCCCTGAAATGTGAATATTGCTTCCTTAGCATCAAGAGTTTCTCGTAAGACCTGCTTCTGCTGTAACCCAGTACTTGCTAATGTAGGTGTAGCCACTGAGACGTACATGTTCGTAACAACAGGAGAAGAAATTGAGACTGGAGAAATAAGTTAAACCTGATGAGATCATGTATAGACAGAAATGTTTAGGAGGTACTAAAAAAAAAAAAAAGCCAGAATCAGAAATGTGGCTCACGTGACTAAATGAGGCAGAGTGTCATAAATATTCCAGTATGGCGGTGAAAATTACTCTTGATGGAATGTTCTATATAAGTGGACCTTTACAAATATTAACATGGCTTTCATCTTATTTTGGCAGGTACTTTCATTTACGCACCCTATCTCATTTCATTCAGCTGAAACTTTCGAATCTCTCCTGGCTTGCTTGAAAATGGATGATGAAAAAGTGGCAGAAGCTGCATTACAAATTTTCAAAAATACAGGAAGTAAAATTGAAGAAGACTTTCCTCATATACGATCGTAAGTTGTATATCTCACTCTGAGTAGTGTTCTTTACTATATTGGACTTTGAAAGTTCTCTTTCTGCCTTTTACATGCTATAGCATTATCCTGCATTCTTTTGCAAGAAAGTATTACTTCAGGTAAAACAGGAAAGAGATGTGAATGACTTTAAAATGCAGAGGTTTTTGGAGAATGGAAGTGAAAAGTAGTGACAGCTGATATGTCACTGATACTACTGTAATTTTAATCATTGCCCTTCAGAATTACTTATGTTGTTTCCTAAATTAACTATAAGGCAATGTAAAAACATTCTTTGCGATTCAGTGAGGATATGTAGACAAGAATATTTCCAAAAGAGGATTTAGTAACTTGTGCAGATAAACTGTTTGTTTTTCCACGTGATATTTTATCAACAAACCCAGGTTTAGGTTTTTTTACTTGCAAGCCATATAAATAATCTTTTTTTTTTTTTTCTTTCTTTGAAGAAATTGCCAAAACCAGAACAAGCACTTTTGCCGTGATGTTGAGTTTTATAGATGTGTATCTGTACTCTTTTGCTAGCTTGGTATTTTGGTAGATTTTCAATTTGTGAAAAGGTACTTATCTCTCTCTTTTTTTTTTTTAAGTGCTTTGCTTCCAGTGTTGCATCATAAAGCTAAAAAGGGACCCCCTCGTCAAGCCAAGTATGCTATTCACTGCATCCATGCAATATTTTCCAGCAAAGAAACACAGTTTGCACAGATATTTGAGGTAAAATTAAAATATTCAGGTTACTCTTAATTAAATCTTTTATATTGCATATGTCAACTAAGGAATGTAGTGGCAATTTATACAGCAAGTTCTGTCAAATTTAGAAAAGATAGTTTTCCCCTTTCCCTTTGTTCTCCTACAGTTTGGCCTGAAAAATGGTAGTGAATGATAGAGTAAAACAAAGTGTTGGACTGTCTGCTAGAGCCATGAACTATTCATGGAAAGAGGAACCATAAACCAGTCCTCACCCCTGTTGGGACTGGCTCAAAGTATTTAAATGGCTACAGGAATTATGGAAAACTGAATTATGGTAGAGACTACTTCAATAGATTTTATAATTATAACTGTAAATATACTTTTAAATTAGTGCACATCAGCCTTTTGTCTTGAAGGCTGAATCAGAGTCCATTTCTGAAATAGCCATCTTGAGATGTAGTATGCCCACTGCTTCAACAAGAAAACATGCTTTTTAATCCATTGTTTCCCAAATGGTCCTGCTTGACCTGCCACTTTTTGAACTACCTAGACGTCATAAACATTTCGTCTGTCGTCTTGATTTTTCTCTTGATTTGTAGGACACTTGTAGGGTTGATGAATGTCTCTTTAAATCTAAATAGTCAATAGTTCTTTTAAAATTGTATTTCTGAAATAGAATGAGACATGGACAGCTTGGTAAAGAACTCCTACCCCCCTCCCCTGAATAAGACACAGATTATATCAGTAATACCTGAATTCGTTGCCTTTATTCTAGCCACTGCATAAAAGTCTGGATCCAAGCAATTTTGAGCATCTCATTACGCCGTTGGTTACTATTGGCCATATAGCCATGCTAGCACCTGATCAATTTGCTGCTCCTTTGAAATCTTTGGTTGCCACTTTTATTGTTAAAGATTTGCTAATGAATGATAGGGTAAGTATTTTAAAAACCTCATATTAAGATTCTGCTGCTTTTGTAGTCTGATACTCAGCAAGTACTTGTGAAAAGTTTGGGCTTGTTGGTCGTTCTTTTTGTATATGGCTGTCTTTGGATTTCCACTTACACTGTTTGACTCAAAGCACACAGTACAGTACAGGAAGGGAGACAGGGCTAATTTGGTGGTCATTACTCAGTGATGAGCTGTACAGCACAGCATTTGATCACTCATGACTTGTCTTTTGTTAAAAATGGGAAAATTGCTATTGACTTTGCTCACTTAGTCTCTTGTCTTGAGCAAGCAAGTTGTGATTTTTCTGGGAAGTATAAAGCATTTGAAACTAAAATACATACTGTTTAAATGAAAGACTGTGAATTTTAATTTTTCTAATACTTCCGTACTGATAGTGATTATAAAGTGAAAAAAATAACTTGTGCATTGTCAGCCATTGCTTAGGGAAAAAATTACTGTCTAAAACGATATGCTTGAGGTTCCAGTCTACTGGATATGGAAAATGGAAATAATTTTCAAAGCAATGGCTATTACACTCTAAAGCAATAGTTTTCAGGTAAGAAAAACCAAATAAACCCCTTTAGTACTGTTAAATTTGCTGATACTGGAATAGTGAGATAATAGTAGCATCTCACTTCTGTAGTGGTTACTTCTATAAAATACAGAAGGCATAAAGCCTAACCAGTTGTAGTGCTGCTGTATTGTTCTCGGAAGCAAACAAGAAAGAGGAGATTATAGCAGGTTTCACTGAAGAGTAATAGTGTAACAAAATGTAACATTTGATTTAGCTTCCAGGAAAAAAGACAACAAAACTTTGGGTCCCAGATGAAGAAGTGTCTCCTGAAACACTTGTTAAAGTAAGTAGCGTTTACTATTTTCCTATGATTGTGTGTATAATACTTCATAATCAACTGGCTTTTGCTGTTTGTTTGTCTCCTTTCTAAAAGTAAAGAAGTTGTAACTGTTTTTAAATTGAGGGTCTTATCAGAATATACATTTTTGGATTGCCAGAAGAAAAGAATTTTGCTCTTGGGAGCATCTACTTTTTTTACTTTTGTAAATAAATTTACAAATGCACTTTATTGAATTTTTTATTATAGCTTTTTATAGGCTTAGGTTTGTTGTGCAGCACTTAAGTGTTCCAGATATCATCACAGATAAAGTAAAATTATTTTTTTTCCCCTGCTGTTTAGCAGGGAGTTAAATATCATAGAGGCTTTGTTTAGTCTTCCTTTTTTCTTTTGAATTTTTGGGATATTCCAAGAAGCTTTTGGTGCTGTTTTAGAATAAAGAAAAAATTGGTTTTGGATTTGTCAGTTTCCTCAAATGAATAAATGTGTTGTATTGCTTTTCTCTGAGTATTAGGGAAAAACCTAGATTTAAAAAAAGAGAAAAAACCCACACTTTTAAATAGTGGGGATTTTATTGGGTTTTTAACTTAAATTTCATCTTAAGCTTGTTCTTTTCTGGAGCAAGTTTACTATTACATTTTCTGGACTTGGTAATAGATATTCTGACTCAATTTTTTCACTCAATCAGAAATAGACTTATATGGTGGAAAATACATTCTGTGACTGTATTTGTTTTTAAATGCCCTTTCTTCAGAACAGGAATAGATTATGCTTTCCCATTTTCTTTCAGAATTAAAGATGCATGTACTTTGTAGCATGCTGTTTCAAAGTTAATTATTGCAGTCATTTAACTTCCAATGCCTTTTGAATAAAGTTGCTCTGATGGTTTAAAAAAGTTCTTTGCTGTCTCTCTTGAAGTTGTTAAAACTCCTTCTCTGCTGGTTTAGTAAGGACTTTGGTTTCCGGCTTGGTACAGAAATCATTACTGGAAATGCTCAGTTGTGTTTGGAGTTGATTTGTTAGCTTTTTATTTGTTTGACTACAGCAAGGATATTTTTCTTATTTGTGCAATTCCATAGTTACACAGTACACTCCAAAAATTGTTAAAAGAATGCATGTTTGTTTTGATTTCATGAACTACTAGTTTAAAATAGACATGATTTCACTTCAGTGATTATACATGTAACTTGAAGTAGTAAATATTAATTGTTTTTTCATATTTTTAATGATTTGTGAAGGTGTAATATCTCTCTAAAATGCACTTTTATATTTATAAAATTTTTCATACAATTGGCTGTTTGGAAGGGAATTGGCTTATAGAAAATCTTAAGGCGATTTGAAGTTGAAGCCAAGCCTGAAAACTGTAAGAAGCATTTATTGGCAAGTGAAAATAGATTATTGTGAAAATTGATTTGCAGATTTAATTAGCATTTATTACTACTGAGAAGCTTATATTTAATGAATGCTGCAGGCAGGCCACACCATTAGTTTATAAACGATTTCTCTCTGACAGTGTATTTTTCTTCACTCTGGTTTTAAAAGCCTCTGTCTCCTTTTGTAACATAACTGTGTAATGTATCTTAAAAGTAGCAAATTTAAGTATGAAAGGGGGAAGGACTGATGAAGACAAAATTTAAGTATTGTCCAGCTTAACAGATGTAAACTGATACAGGCTAGCCTTAGTTTTTGATGTTAAACCTTAAATGAAATTATGTCTGTAGAGAAATGTTTCAGTAAAGTATTAAATATGAATTGGATTAATTATTGTATGAGTTAGACTTAAATTCCTACACCTGACACTTGAGTGACTGCTCTAAAGCAGTAATCTCTCCTGGCAGTGATCAGTACTGAATACTTCTGTGCACCATGCAGTGGATCGAGACTTATGTAGTAGCAGTGATTTCTTGTTTCCTTCTATGTACACTGCAATGTAAGATTTCACATCCTGTTTCTCTAACTGTGATTTAAGTGGGCATTGTTTCATTTTTTACTACTGCACAAACCTGCAGCATTTGTGGCTCTGAAAACTCAAGTAGTAGAAACCTAAGCTAGCTGTTGTCATAATGTTGACACAGTAGGAAGACTGTTTCTAGGATCATTACATGGGATGGGAGCCCATTACACTTTTACAATGGAGGCGTGATGATAACTGCTAGATCACAGGAAAGGGTTATAACTGTGTTGATTATTTTTGTTAATCTTAAAAATTAATACTTATTCACTACTGACAGTTTGTGTATAGCTTGTAGTTAACTGCAGTTTTCTCGTATAACAGATGAGAGATCTGTCACATTATATTCACTGTCTCAGAAAGAAATGATAATGTGCTATCACTTCTGCTCACATTTCAAATACACGTAGTTCATGTTGTGCTTGTTGAGTACAAAGCAGTTATTTGTGGCCTCTGCTGTGGTTCTGACCCATGTTGTATTTTGACTTGATATTTTCATGTTGTGTGTACTAATTTTTAACCTCGGAGGAGAATTCTAGGCTCATGGGACAGAAATTGAAACAGGACGTTCAGACTGGATATAAGGAAAAAGTCTGAGAACAGTCAGGCAATGGAACAGGTTGCAAGAGGACGCAGGCTGCCAAGAGAGCCTGTGCAATCTCCATTCTTGGAGGCTTTCAAGACAATAGTGGATAAAACTGAGACAGGAGATTGGACTGGAGATCTCCTGATGCTCCTTCCAACTGGAATTATCCTTTGATAGTTGATGCTGTTTGGCTGCAAAAAAAATATTTAAAACATGAGGGCAGTGCAAACTGACATCATGTTTGTTTAAGTCTTAAGGTAGCCAGAAGCAGTGACTGGGGGAACTCTTATGCCCTGTACTAATTTCATGGGAGTGCTTTATTCTGAAGGGTTGCTGGAATGCTATCACATCATTAACAGCAGCAAAGAAACTGGGAACATAGTGGGGTCAGAGGACAATTCTGAAGGAGTTGGGATTAGGACTTCTTACATGGAAGGAAGACTAGAGTAGATTCGGACGGTGAAATTGGGGCAAGGGTATTATGGAGGGGAAAGAGAAAAGCAAAGGTTAAAATTGAAATTGCTCAGGAGCTAACCAGAGATGTCAGGGCACAAGATGGCATGTGACTGTTCCCTGGCTGAATACGTTATTTACTTGAAGACCAAATAAAGAGCTAGCATGTTTCTGTCTCCCAACAAATGGGAGGCACTAATGGTTACAGTTACTGGTTATGACATAAAGAAACTGAATTGGTAAGCTGTCAAAAGATCTACTACTGCTGCTATTAGCATTAGTGGTAGTAGCTTGTTTTTGTCATTATATTAATTTATTATCATTTTAATATAATAATAAAACAATATTATAATATTTTAGTATTATTATATTGGTTTTAGTAGTATTATGTTGGTTTTATTGCTATTACAGTCTTCTGGTGGATACTTAAAGCCGTTTCAGTGGAAGACCCCTTGAAAGCTAGGGCAAGACAATTCAACAAACTCCATTTGCATTTTGAGTTCCTGAGTGACAGACATCCTACCTCTTGCTGGTATTACCCAGTAGAATTCTGTAGGTGGAGTAAATGGGCTTCAGAGTTTATAAAATAAACTCACATATAGATGACAGTCCTAGAACTTAGATCTGAAGGGACCATTGTGATCAGTTTGTTATATGGAATAGATAAACTGTATGATGAATTTCTTCTGGTGATATCGTGAATATTTATATAAAAGTTGTTAGAACTACCTTTCCTATTAAGGAGAAAATTTGGAGTTACCATGTACAAAAAGTTTCTCAGTTTTGTAAAGCTTTTGGGTTTTGTGTTTTGAACTTCAGGGTTTGATGTTTTGGTTTGTTTGGTTTTGTTGGGTTTTTCCTCAAGGATGTCTATGTGATTCAGATGAGCATTTTCATTTTTCTCTAAGAGGACACTCCTGTTTTCTCTATTGTCTCTGCTCTCATATGGAAGGAAAATGAAAGGACAAAAGGATTCAAATACTAAAACAATCTCCAAATTCATGATTTTCACTAAAGAAATGTGAAATTATTCAGTGTCTCATGATAGCTGCATACTTTTAGAAGCTTGTCTCAAAACACTTGAAGTTTCCATTGGCAAAAGACAAGTTATCCTAAGTAACAGGCTTTGAGGCTTTTCTTTAAATAGCCGTGAAAGAAATACTCCTTTCCAGGATGAGCTATCTTAATATAGGTTGCTACTCAGTCAGAATGTCTATGAAGTGTGTTTTAATTTATGTATCTTAAATTTAAACTCAAATATTACATATATAAATAAAGAATACATAGGGATTACTTAAGCACAGGAATTACAGGAACACAGGAAGATGAAAATGTGTTCTGCTTTTTGATCCAGTAACATTTTCTTAATAAGTATAAATTGTTTTGCCTCTTCTACAGTGTTCAATGGATGTAAGCTCAATTAAGATAATGTGTACACAGGACAAAATATGTGACTGCTTAGTTGAAGAAACAGTTCAAACTTTAACTAAATGTTGTATGGTTTTTACTTGCTGTAATAAATGCTTGACTTTCAGTGAAAAGTTGCTGTCTAGTGAGAGTACGTCTAGTTATCTTTCAGTATTTAAATGATGTTTTGCAGCCTTGACAGGCTTATGTTCGTAGCAGCAAAAAGGTCTTGGAAAAATACCATGTGATTAAATTAAGATAAAGATTATTTAAAAAATGAGGTTCATGGTGTGATTTGACTTCTGCATATCAATTTTTTTTTTTTTTTCAGATTCAGGCCATTAAGATGATGGTTCGATGGTTGCTAGGAATGAAGAACAACCACAGCAAGTCAGGAACTTCTACTCTGAGGTTACTAACAACAATATTACACAGTGACGGAGATTTAACAGAGCAGGGGAAAATTAGGTATGTAACAGATGGTAATGTTTTGATGTCTGTGATGATGCGGTGGGGAGAGTTTTAGTCAAAGTAGTACTTAAACTATTCTGTTAGACTGCTTAACAATTTATAGATCTTATTTTGTAAGAACTAATGGTAAGCTTGGTTGGATTCCTACATAAGTTTGAGTCTCGGGTTTTTTAACGCTGTAAATATAGCTATATTTTAACGTTTTTATCTTGTTTGCTTTCTCTTTTCTTCAGAGGGCTATTACTCATATTGCAAGAATAAACTGTGAAACTTCCTCTTTCCCATTGAAAATTGGTTTTAATTTTTTATGCAGCTTGCTCTTCCTGATGTACCAATTGTTGTGTATGCCAAAGGCCCACAGGCTGATAATAGCATGTTGCAGTAAACCAGGTGGGAATAGCTAGAACATAAGGGCCTTCTGCTTAAAGGCAGACTTCAATCCCTTGAGGCCTCTGAAAGTGAAAGGAAGAGGAAGATGTGTAAAGAGGATTAAGTCTCAATAAATAATTTACCTTTTAGGTGATTGTTAGACAACGTATTTGTTTTTATGGGTATCTTCATCCTCTGTGGTAGGAGAAGTGACAAGTTGTCAGCCACTATTGCTTGCCAAACACTGAAAATTTATTTCTGCAAAAGCTATTAAGGGCATGGGTGGGTTGTGCCAGTATCAGTGAAAAGGTTTTAATTTTCAGGTAGAGTTTAATGTTATACAGTGATTACGCAGATAGAACCTTTGTTGTGTGTGCAAAATTGCAAACCTGAGAATTGTCTAGTATGTTATCTTTGTAGCAACTGTGTAGTCTTTCTTTGAGTTCCTTGTAAATAATTGTTTCATAGTTTTAAATTCTGTAATGTGACTATTCATGGCAGTTACTAGGGAGTTAAGTGGCTGAAATTTACTTTTCAGCATAACTGCTCAGAGTACATTGTTGGCTTATCCAGTAGTTTATGAATAGATCAGTTCTGTAGGTCCTGTGTGTTTTTATGCTTGGAGTGATAATTCCTTACTGTGCATGTTTAAGAAATTTAATTTTCCCACTCTTTTTGTACTCAAAACTGTAAATAATAATAGAAACTGTATATAATGATGTGGTCAGTTCTCCGTTATTAAAGTTAATGGAGGGCTGGGGATACTTTTAGGGGAGGGAGAAAGCTGCAATGACATGTGAGGTTGTTCTGTGTTAAAGGCAGCCCTTCAGCCCCAGAGCTTGGAGCTCTGCCTGGGGATGGATGGTGGGCCAACTGCAAGCTTATGGGTTAGGATTAAAGAGCAGACTAGTATGGGTGACCTTGTAGTTGGTGTCTGCTGTAGGCCCTCTGACCAGGAAAAGGAAGTGGATGAGGCTTTCTATAAACAGCTAGAAACAATTTCATGTTCACAGGCCTTGGCCCTCATGGGGCACTTCAACCACTCCAATACCTGCTGGAGCACCAACACAGCAGCACATAAACAATCCAGGTATTTCCTGGAGAGCATCAATGACAACTTCCTGACACAAATGATAGAGTAGTCAACAAGGAGAGGTGCTCTACTGGACCTCTTACCAGCAAGGAGGGACTTCTTGGGGGTGTGAAGGTTAAAAGGCAGCCTTGGCTGTAATGACCATAAGATGGTGGAGTTCAGAATCCGGAGGGCAAAAAGCAAAATCACAGTACTGGATTTCAGGAGAATGGATGTGGGCCTCTTCAGGGATCTGCTTAGTGGAGTCCCATTGGATAAGGCCCTGGAGGGAAGAGGGGCCCAAGAAAGCTAGTTAGTATTCAAGCATCATCTCCTCTAAACTCAAAAGTGGTCAAAGCAGAAGGTCAGGCAAATATTTCAGCAGACATGTGTAGATGAGCAAGGAGCTCCTGGCAAAACTCAAACTGAAAAGAACGGATTGAGGTCAGCCCTGAGGAGAAGGACTTGGGGGTATTGGTTGATGAAAAGCTGGACATTAGCCGACAATGTGCGCTCACGGCCCAGAAAGCCAACCGTATCCTGGGCTGCATCAAAAGAAGCATGACCAGCAGGTCAGGGGAGGTGATTCTGCCCCTCTACTCCACTCTCGTGAGACCCCACCTGGAGTACTGCATCCAGCTCTGGGGGCCCCAGTACAAGAAGGACACGGAGCTGTTGGAGCGAGTCCAGAGGAGGGCCATGAGGATGATCAGAGGGCTGGAGCACCTCTTCTGTGAGGACAGGCTGAGAGAGTTGGGGTTCTTCATCCTGGAGAAGAGGAGAAGGCTCCAGGGAGACCTTATTGCTGCCTTCCAGTACTTACAGGGGGCCTATAAGAAAGATGGGGACAGACTTTTTAGCCAGGCCTGTAGTTATAGGACAAGGGGTAATGGTTTTAAACTAAAAGAGAGTAGATTCAGGCTAGATATAAAGAAGAAATTTTTTTATGATAAGAGTGATGAGGTACTGGAACAGGTTGCCTGGAGAGGTCGGGGATGCCCCATCCCTGGAAACAGTCAAGCTCAGGTTGGACGGGGCTCTGAGCAACCTGGTCTAGTTGAAGATGTCCCAGCTCGTTGCAGGGGGATTGGACTTGGTGACCTTTAAAGATCCCTTCCAACCCAAACTATTCTATGGTTCTATGAGGTATACAGAAGGTAGAAGTAGGATCAGGTAACATGGCAGGAATACAGAGAACACTGTCTGAGACACAGTTAAGAAAGCCAAAGCCTAACTGAAATTTAATCTAGTGAGGGATGACAAAGGCTACTGAAGAGCTTAAGTAAATAGGTGACAAAAGGAGGACTAGGGGAAATCTGTGCCTGCTGCTGAACAAGGCAGGAGCCCTGGTTACACAGGGCATGGAAAAGGTTGAGGTACTCAATGCCCTCTTCACCTCAGTCTTTACTAGCAAGACCAGCCTTTAGGAATCCCAAGCCCTGGAGACCAGGGGAAAGTCTGGAGCAAGGAAGACATACCCTTGGGGGAAGAAGATCAAGTTAGAGAATATGTAAGCAAACTGGACATGCATAAGTCCATGGTTCTTGATGGAATGCACCCATGAGTATAGAGAGAGCTGGCAGATGTCTTTGTGAGACCACTCTTGATCCTCTTTGAATGATTGTGGTGATTGGTAGAGGTGCCTGAAGTCTTGAGGAAAGCAAATGTCCCTTTATATTAAAAAATGACAGGAAGGAGAACCAAGAGAACTAACTATAGGCTAGTTGGCCTCGCCTTGATCCCTGAGAAGGTGAAGGAACACCTGGGCTCTCCAGTACGAGAGAGATGTGGAGCTACTGGAATGAACACACTGTAGGGCCATGAAGATGCTTAAGGGATTTGAACATCTGATGGATGAGGAAAGGCTGAGAAAACTGGAGCTATTCAGCCTAGGGAAGAAAAAGCTCAGTGGGGATCTCATCAATGTTTATAAATAACTGGATGGAGGGTGTAAAGAAGATGGAGTCGGGCTGCTCTTAGTGATGTGCAGTGACAGGACCAGAGGCAATGGGCACAAACTGAAATACAGGAGGTTCTGTCTGAACACAAGGAAACGCTGAACGCTGCTTTTTCACAGTGAGAGTGACTGTGCACTGGCACAAATTGTCCAGAGAGATGGTCGAGTTTCCATCCTTGGAGATATTAAAAAGCCGTCAGGACACTATCCTGGGCAGCCTGCTCTAGGTGACTCTGCTTGAACAGAGGGGTTGGGCTAGATGATCTCCAGAGGTCCCTTACAACTATAACTATTCTGTGGTTCCCGGTATTGCATTTTGGTGAAAGCTCTAAGCTGCATGGAGGGCAGGTCTCCTTTATTCTGTTTGTGAGCTATATCACCTACACTAACAAGTACTCTCAAAGCCTGAAGCTGAGCTATATTAGTTCTGCATGGAGCTTGCTGGTATCTCGCTGACACCTCCTGACCTTTATCCTTTACCCTTTGAGAACGCAACAAGGATATCTTCTTTCTGGCAGTGCTTACTGTGTCTCTACCGTGCAAATCAGATGCTGCTCCTTCCAAATTAGAGTCAGCTTTGGAAAGAGTAAAATTATCATTCAATACAAAACATGATCTCTTAAACTATACTTGATCGGATGTCATTCTATGTAGAGTCAATTTTTGTGTTTGTGGCTTGCATTTTTCTTTTGAACAATGTATAATTTGTTAAAGATAATTGAATTAACTGAAAGTGGCAGGGTTCCAGAGACATTTGACAGGCCATTAGTTATGTTGTAATCATCTCGGTGTTATTGTCCTCATTAGCCATAAAAATGGCTCTGTCCCCATGCCTCTTTAAATCTACACAACTGTACTTTTCAGTGACAGTGTAAGGGAATGGCATTTTTTAAATTTCAAAATACGGTTCAGCCTAGAGTTCCAGGTGAAGGCAAGATCCTACCTGGAAAACAAATAAAGAAATTCCTACTCTTGTTCATCCTTCTCACATTGAAGTAGTAGGATTGATGACTTTGTTGAATTGCTTTTAAAACTACAACTGATTGCTTTGAGACATTAGCATGTGTAGGTTAAATTCACCAATGTCGGATTTTTTTAATAATGAATTTTGTCAACAAATAATATCTCAACAGTCCTTTTCAGGTCTTTATTTTTCTTCTTGTAAGTTATAAACGGACATACAAATTTAAAATTCAAGATTATACTAATTTTCTATTTGTGGTTAGGTAAAACTGCTAAGTTGAATCTTGCATGTCTTTGTAGTAGGGTTTTAATTTTAATCTATACTAAGCATAAAATAAGAGTCTTTCTGTATCAGAGGACACTAGCTGTTGCTGGAAGTATGGGTATTAGATATGGATGTGAACTGAGAGTTTTCTGAAATGCTATCTGCATTTTCCTTAAACTGAAGCTTACCAAGACAAAAATTACTTTAAAACTTTGGAGTTTAGAACTTCATAGTTCTGTGCTATAGATAATGTGCTACACATCTGATACGCAACATTTTCAGAGGTTGTATTCGAAAGACACTTTTTGTTCTATGGAACATGGAAAATACTTAGAAAATTGGACACTGGCATTTATCCTCTGGAGTAGAAGAAAAAATGTTAAGTGCCACTTTGTAAAGTGAGAGAAGATGATATGCACCAGATACGTTTTGAAGATGTGTTTATTTGGATTATCTTTGTGCAGCCAACCACCTTAATTAAGACTATGTTTTGCACTTGATAACATCTTTCCATGTGGTTGCAGTTTGTTCTCATTTCAAACATCTGGTCTTCAGCAATAGTAACAGCACTCGAGAAAATAAACATCCAGGTCCCTCTGGTATCTCTTAAAGAGCTTCTGATAGGACAAGGGCATCCTTGGTACTAATTTTCAAAATTATTAGCAGTAATTAAAAACTGCAATTATATCATGCAGAAACTTTTATTTCAGCCCTAATAATTGTGTGGTTTTGGCATAACATGGATCAGAATATAGCTTTTAGCTATAACAATTTGATCAAAAATAAATCCTCAGTCAAGAGTTTCTTCTAAGATAATCCTTTTGGGAATAAGATATACTCATAACTAACACTGTCCTCCTCTTTCTTCCCACAGTGTGCACAGATGCTTGTGGGTATTTGTGACATACACAGGAAAAAAAAATCATTGTTAATATTTAGCCAACTTTTATATAAAAATCTTTGATTCAATTTTCAGAATTAAATGTTATCACTACCGAAGCTGAGGAAGAGGGAAAGTTCTTAATCTTATCCCTTCCTTTGGCTCAATCACTCTGTACTTGTGAGTCATTATTGCTCAGTTGTCACTGAAGTGCAAAAATTGAATCTTTATTGGGTTCACTTATCACAGTAGATGCAATTTAAAGTGAAATTTAGCATTTAAGAACTAGACATTACCATGTTAATCTTCATGCCTTGTTTGAAAGTTAGTCCAGCTTTTGTCCTGTCACTTGGTTGCTTATGATCTATTGGGGTTTTCTTGAAATGTCATGGTTTCCATAAAATACTGAGGTGTGTATAAAGCCTGATTACATAAATTTTAAGATTTAAGCTCTTTGATGGGTATTTTTATCATGCGCTCTGTTTTTAATAACGTCTATGTCATTCTTTAAATGCTTTTTACAGTTTTCATGGTAATGGTTTTAAGACTACAGTGTTTGCTCTTCCTAAGAGTAAAGGGAAAATGATTAAGAAGTTAAACAATATTTGCCCTGCTTAAATGAATAATTATTTCTGAGTAAGAATATGACTTGATTCCTGTTCCACATTATCAAAGGAAAAAGCTGTACTTACTACTTCTGAATAGAATTCATTAGTGTTTTAAGTGAGATGCATAAAACTTAATTCTTTTGTGTTTGAGCTGAAGAAAGGCAGAAGTAATATATTTTACTGAAATGAATTTCCTAAGAACAATGAAAGCTCAACTGTTTATTAATGCACACATTAAGTGGATATCGGTTTGCAAAACTCACGTGAAGATGCTTTTGGTATTCTGATAATCTTTGTAAATATGGTTGTAGGTTACAGAAAAAACCCATTCATCTTTTGATATGAAAATTAGCAGCAAATGGTTGGAGCGCTTTGCTAGGTGGGAGTGCAGTTTGGGTGTGCAAGTCAAGTTACAACACTTAACGCATGTTGACATTTTTTTGTTTGCTAAATCCTTTTTGCTATTGTATTAGAAATACAAATCACTTAGTCACCTATCATAATATCTAATTAATTTCTGTTGACTTGCAGCATGGATTTTGAGCTGTCATTGCTAGAAGAAGTTTGGCAACTGTGGGGACTAGAAATGGGCTACTTTTTTGGCAGGAGTCCCCAGCTGAAGGAGAACCAGCACATTGAACAGAAGTATTTTACAGGCTAAATGAGGTCTCTGAGGGGCAGTTTGGACTGTGCTGGTCCAGTGCACAAGTTAAAACTGTTTCACACCCATGTGGAACTTTTAGGAAGTTTCAAGGAAAATTTTCATTGCTAAGCAGGTCAAGGTAATAGGTCTGTGGTAATAGGCTGTAAAATGTGGTGCCATGGAAACTACTTCTGATTTGAAGTTACTTCTGCTGCTTATTGGTGGGGGGGAAGAGGGTGGCTAAGTCCATGGAAACTTTTCCTTCTTTTTAAAGTACCTGTTATTCAGCAATGCAAACTTATTGGGATTTAATTAAGTCAAATAATTACATAATTTTTTACTAATTAACCTTCATAATCTGTGTGCTTGTTTTTCAGTAAACCTGATATGTCTCGTTTGAGGCTGGCTGCAGGGAATGCTATTGTGAAGTTGGCACAAGAACCTTGTTACCATGAAATCATCACCTTAGAACAGTACCAGCTGTGTGCGCTAGCCATAAATGTAAGGAAATTAGGTGGGGTTTGTGGGTTATCAGCAAATGTGTGAGTATATATGCTGTTTGTTCTATATGTTGTGTATACTTCTGCTAATCTGATTTTATGTGAAACGTTCAGCCTTGGCATGAATTTATTTTCCCACTACATAATCCTGAAAACCAATTTTGGATAAGAATTAGCTCTCTAGCATTGGGCTGCCCAGTGGGGAAATGCTAATTTACAGTGAAATGTTAGAATATTGATAAACCAAGGAATTCAGTATTGATTTAAAGTAATACCCTAGCTACATTATGACATTTTAGAAGTTGAAATGAGGTGATATAAAGTAGTTGGACTGTGGTGACAACAGTGACCTTGGTTTCTTGATACTTGGGTAGAATATATTTCAAATGCAGAGGTCTGCAAAGATAGTTGACATTCTTTAAATATTGGAAGAGATAGGGAGAGATTTCTCATAGATGTTGGAATTTTCATCCTTAATTTCTGCCTGTGAGCCCAAACTAGCAGAAAGGAAATAACTTTCAAATTATAAGTAGAGGAACAGAGATCGTCTGTGTTCCTGTCTTGTAGACTTGGCAAATTCTACGGAAATTGATTCACACCCCAAGAGTAAGGTGGTCACAGAGGAACTCATGTTGATGTTACTTGTGTAACTGCTGGTATTCTACTGACTTTACAAAAGTCAGGAAATCTCTGGAAGGAATCCCTTCTAGAAGATATCCTCAGTAATAATGATATTCCATTCTAAATCTTAATTCCTGTGACTGGCTAAAGCTTTAAAAGCTGCAACCAATTTTAAACGTCAGATTTGAAATTGGCGTTTAATATTAGAAAATACAAAGTATAGCTCCTGTGTGGATATTGCTGATTTTCATATAGAGTATGTTTATTTTCATAGAGTATCTTCTTAAGTTGTTTGGAGTTGGGTACAGTTAGGCTAGAAAAATCATTCATATACCGGATTAAGACAGTCTGTATTAGGCTTGTATATTGTTTCAACAATGTTTATGTGGATTTTAAGCTTCTGTGTTCCTGTGGAAAGGAGCTCTTAGTTCCCAAATTGTATGAAAAACAAGAGGAACAAAACTTAAAAGTACTTAAGCAGATGAAATCTAACAAAAATGCAGCAGAAATTCAGTGGTAATAACTGAAGGTCTTTACATCCAAAGCAAGGACTGATACTTTTCAATTTTGCTATTCCAAAACCTAATAGAAATGTTAGTCTTGTTCAAAAAGAGTTTTAAAGATTTTTACAATTCAGAACAAAATTAGTAGAGAGTAAAATAGCCACTTATTGTAATGACAAATGAGATCTGTCTCTGTTCTGGAAAGGATATTCTAGCCGGATAATGTCATGCCTAGCCTTATCAATATAGTATTTGCACGTTCTGTTTTCTTCCGATAC